TTGCTACTTCCTGAAGTGACGTAGGGTCAGGGTATCAGTCACAGGGCCCGGGGGACTGCAGGGCCAGACTGTTGGCCACTGAGCCCCAGCTGCTAGTATGTCTTCTGGACGCCTCAAAAATGGATAGTTCTATACAAACACCAACCCAGGGGGATATTCAGAGCAGGAGGAGGAGAATACAGCTGTGATTAGAGCCATGAGGAGTTACTTCTGTGTGGTATGTAGTTACAGCCACTTCAGAGACAGCAGCCCACCTGGGTATTTGACCAGCAACAAAATAGGCAACTCCCCATTACACCTCCATAATGCTCACTATGGAGATAGGCTAAATTCCCACAACCAAGGCAGAGTCTTCCTCTTTCCAAGCACACTACACAGTATCCTCCTCCCCATACCATACTACACCCTCCTCTTCTGAAAGAGCGGGGAAGGCAAGGCAGCATTACTTCCCCATTCCCAAGGGAAGGGAACTCAATCCCTACAACAATGGTGTGGGAGGAATCTCTTATTGAATTTATAGGCTCCTCCAAATTCACTCCCCCAGGGGTTCGCAATCCCTAGAGCCTGCCTTATTCTGGAACTGCACCAATGCTCCAAACTCTGAAGACACGCTGGTTAATGGGTCCCCAGAATCACGTAATGATCTCTGCTTAACATTGCTGTAGTCATGGCCTTTTCATAAGAGGAAAACAAGGTTTGCATGTCCTAAGAAAGGAACGTACCTGCAAAGGGTTCTGATGCATTCCCGCATGGGGAGGCTCCTTCCCTTTGCACCACAGCCTCTGCCTCTGGAGTTGCTGTCTCTGTCACAGCTGCCACTGCCAGCTGCCCCTTTGGCTTCTTCTCATCAAAAACAGCTATCCCCTCCGATGCACTCTGCAGCATTCTCCTCTCCACTTGGGCAGGACCAGCTTGGGCCTCTGTAGGCCAGTACAGCAACTCGGTGCCTGCAGCGATAGGACGCCGCACTCGGATGTGGAGTCTTCCACTGATCCACACCAAAGCCACGTTTGCCTCATCATCCCCCCGGCCTCGCTTCACCAATCTGCAAGACACCAAGCTCAATGTCAGCACCCACCGGGGCACATGGAGATCTTATTGCCTTCAGTGGGAGCTCCAAGCTCTGAAGGATCAAACTTTAGCCAACTGAGAAGAGTCCTCCTAGGAAATAAGCCCTTTAACTGGCTACAAGAGGCCCCCGATGTCTTGATAAGAACACGTTCTGAATTCTTGGGCTGCATGTAGCTACAAACTAGCTCCAGAATAAAGCTCTCTCTGACTCCTTAAAACACCCTTCACTATCCCAGGTCTCTCTGTCACTTTAAACTTTCCAGATAGGTCACTTGGAGGCCCTCCTACAGAAACAAACTTTCTCCACAAAGAGAGCCAAGAATCTGTCATTCCCCTTACATACAAAAGGAAAGAGTGAGATCATATTTACACAGCATTTTTCATCCCAAAGAAACCCTTATGCAGCCAGGGAGTATTTCACCCACCCCTGAAATGCAGCCGACTGTGGAGTAGAACATGGAAGATGGCACCTTCCAGCAACGCAACATTCCACTAGGGCACAGAACCAATAACTGAAAAATACCCCATGATGAGTGATCGACACCATATTCTGAAGCACCTGGGCTATTTCTTGGAAGTCTGCCATCCATGTATTGGCCAAGCCTGACACTGCCTAGTGAGACCACCCCACAGTGTTACAGTGGCTATAGATTCTCTCTTTACACTTACAGTATGTCCCAAAGGAAACCCCCATGTTGTTTCATATACAGCTACTCACTTCCTCCAGCTGGGGCTCCTCTCACAAATGGATTCATCACTGCAGCAGCCAGACTGAATTGCCTGAAAAACAAAATGAATTCAGAACAGACGTACAAGTTCGGTGTCTGCCCCTTAATTGGGAGCTGGCTGATGCACCTGGCACTTCCTGTAATCAGTCTCCATCCTGATCATCACTACAAAAGTTTTTTTTTTCTCCTGCTAATAGCCTATCTTAATTGATTGGTCTTGTTAAGAGTTGGTTTAGCAACCCCCATTTTTTCCACGTTCTCTGTAAATCTATCTATCTATCTATCTTCCTACTGTATTTTCTACTGCATGCATCTGATGAAGTGGGCTTTAGCCCATGAAAGCTTATGCTCAAATAAATTTGCTAGTCTCTAAGGTACCACAAGTACCCCTCATTCTTCCTGCTGATACAGACTAACACTGCTACCACTCTGAAACCTATAGTGACTCAGGCACTCAGATCCCATAGTGATGGGCAGACAATCAGGACCCGAATAAAAGTGAGACCTGATACCTAGTGTTGGGTGCTTGCAGACTTCCCCTGCCACACTGGAAATGCCGAGGCAAGTGCCGCACATGGGAGCCAGGCACTGGGCAGTAGAGAACAAAGAGCTTCAGCAGACGGTACAGAGCTGGACACCTGGGTTCTCGAGCATGGCAGCGCCAGGCTTTGCACCTGGCTGGGACCTTAGTCTCTCCCCCTTCCCCTTCTTTCATGATAAGCCTCTGTGGTGGACAGGGAGTCCTGCCGCCCCCACTCAGCTGGGTGCTACTGGCTTGCCCGCGAGCTGGAGCTGCTCTGGGGCTTGCTTGTCAGGCCCCCCCGGCCCAACCGTACCTCCGAGGGCGCTCTCTCTGCCGCACAGCCCAGCTCCTCCTCCGCCCGCGGCCCGAGGAGCGCTCCCGGCGGCAGGGCTCTCCCCACGCACCAGACGCCCATGCCCGGTTCCTGGGCGAGGGAGGGCCCCAGGGCCAGTCCCGGAGGGAGGCTCCGCAGGGCTCCGCAGGACGCGCCCGGCTGCGCGGGCAGGTCTCGGATCCGCCCCGGGTGGCCGCGGACGGGGCGCTGCTCACGGCCTGCGGGGAGGCAGGGGAGCGACGGCGTTACACGGGGGGCGCAGGCCCCGGGGCACGCTCCCGCCGGGCGCCCGCTCGCAGCCCCCACTTTCCCGGCCAGCTGGCTCCGCTCCATGCCGGCCCGGGGCGCAGGCTCCGGCTCCGCGACCCCCGGCCGGATCCTGCCGCCGCACGGCAGAGGCGCGCGCCGACCCGGTTCCGGTCGGGAGCGGCCGGAGCCGAGAACAGGGTCCCCGCTCCCGGCTGCCCCGTTGGGGGTGGAACCATCCGCGGAGCCAGCGGCCGCGTCCGGACGACTTTCGCTCGGACCCAGAAGGCGCCAGGGACCGGAAGTGGAGAATGGGGGCGGGCCGCTGTTTCCATGGAGAGGGGAATCCCTCTTCCGGTTCGGAGGCGGATGTTTGTGAGCGGGTTTGACAGGCGGGACCCTCTGGGAGCGGGCGACGGGTGAGGGCGGCGAAAGCGGCGGTCGCGGTGTCGGGTGGGGGTCGGTATTTCGGGGCGACGCCGGCCTGCGGGGCTCGGGTCCAGGCGGCGAGCGCGGCCTGGCGGTCGGAGCGGGCCACTGGCCGCCCGGACTCTCGGGTTCTCCCCGTGGCTTGGGCCGGGGCCGCGCTGCCAGCGGTCAGTGGCGCGGTGTCGGGGCGGGGGATGAGAGGATCGCGGTTCTCGCTCCCCGCGCGGGGAGACGGGGGGTCAGGGGGCTGACGCCTGCCAAGCAGCCGGCGAGGGGGAGCGGCGCGGAGATGCCGAGGGGTTGATGATGATGATGATGGCGGCGGGGCTGTCGATGGGTAGATTGGGGGTAGGAGGGTGGGGGATGCCTGTGTCTTGGAAGGGGCTTGACTGAGGAGCCCGGGTTGCTCGGGGAGAACTGGGCCGTGTGTGGGGCTTGGCAGGCCGGGAGTCCAGCTACGGAGCTGTCTGCTAATTTTCTTTTTAAAAATAAGAAAATTCCCAGACAAAAAGTTGTTCACGCTGCAAATAGAGATCCCCCTAGTTTGCATTTCTAGTCTTAGCATGTCTTGTTTTATATATATTAAACAACGTTTAGAAGTTCGGCAGGTTTGGCAGTAAGTGGTCAGCTCCAAGCAGAAACCACTCTTTGTACCCTTTGGATGGGGTGTACTCAAAATATGCACTGGGCACTGCTTTTTTAGAGGGACGAGACCAGAAAATTCTTTTTCTATCGTTCCTTTGGCTACTCAGACATTGTGCTTTTCTCTGGCTTCCTTTCCCTTTCAAAGTTTAAGTGTCAAGGCGTCCTTTCTAGAACACCACTCCCACTTGAGGAAAGCTGTAAATAGGGTTGGGAAGAGCAGGGTTAGAGCCTAGCCCTGTGGGTTTGTATTGGAAGAGGGTAGAGAGTGCATACAGAATGGGAGCAGAACTAGTTCAGATAAGGCAATCCACACTTACAACGCTCAGGGCCCCAAGGCTGGCTAATGTCCAGGTTTACAGTGCTAAAGGGAATTCAAGGCCTTTGAATGGATCATTTATGAACTCGTGGATTCAGGAGAGTTTCCTGAGGCTTGGGCAGTGATAGACCAAAACCCACTATTTAACAGCTAGGATGCAAGCAGGTGAGTGTAGACCAGTGAGCCTAGAGGGCAGAAGAAGTTCTAGAACCCCAGTCTGATGGAGGGGGAGTCAGACAGGCTGGGTAGGGGAGTTCAGGTTTAGTGCTGGAGCTCTGTAAGTAGAAGACTGTTTCTCTGTAGGAAGAAGCAAAGATCAGGAACTATAATATGCTTCAGTTTTCCCCAAAGTATTTGTCAAAGATCCACATTCACAATTAACATTTGGGACATTAGATAGACTAGGGCATTGGGGAGACAACAGGAGATTAAGGGACCCTGCGAGGGAAATGTCTTTTCTTGGACGGGTCCCCCATAGGTCACTTTATATTGTTGTTCATATCATATATGGGATTTGAAAACTGGGGATCAAATGCAACCCTGGATCAGGCTGCTCTGTTGAAATCGGTGAAGATACACTGCCTTCTGTAGTGATGAATTTGGAACATAGGCGTTGTCATATTGAAGCAGAGCCAAGGTCCATTTCGTCCAATATTCTGTCTCCAGCAGTGGCCAGGACTAAATGCTTCAGATGCAAATGTAAGAACTCTGCTGTAGGCAGATGTGGTACAATATCCACCTTCTCTCCCCCCCGCCCAATTAGGTCTCATCCTGAACTCTAATGGTTAGATTTTTCTTAAGCTGTGAAGCATGAGGTTTAATATCCTTCCCAAATTTTTGTTAGCATTAACAGTTAAAATTCCTGATATTCTTGTTTTTCATATAAATGTCCAGTCCCTTTTTGAATCTTGCTGTCTGAATCTTTAGTTTGGCTCAAGGTATCCAGGTTTGCAGAGGAGGCTGAGCTACAAGGGGGTATGCCAGAAGGAACTGGGTTTGTGGCTGGCAAGAAAGATATATTGCCGTTTCAAGACTGTCACATGACTCCAGTTCCTTAGAAATTCAGCAAAACGCCTTGTGTGGTGGGTGGGGCCAGAGGAGAACAGATAAGCAACCTGTGCAGCTTGTGGTGGGATTCCGAGGGAGAAACGTGAGCTCAGCTTTTCTACTTTCTTCCTGGATCTCTGCTAGGTTACAGGTTGTCTGCCACACTCCCCTGATCTTGATCGCTAGTTGGGTAGGTTTGCTGTGGCTACGGTGCCTGGCTTTTGGCAAAGCATTTGAGATTGGAAATGGAATTCCATTAGATTCAGCTTTTACTGAAGCACTGGAGAACCAAAGTGTAGCAACAAGAAGCAGTGTATCCATATCGAGTTAGCGGGGTCATTAATGACCTGGAAGAAGGAAGTTTGGCTCTTGATGTCTCTCTCTCAGGGTGATACCTCTGCAGGTGCAGCCAGCTGAGACATTTGAGCTAACAGCTCCCAAACTTCGGGGGGTTGGGCAGGATATTGTCACTGGAGGTTGGGCATCGTGGACTCTGGAACTCATGCTTGCAGTGCCTGAGTTGGTTGGTTTCAAGGCATATCTGTTTTTCCAGGCTCTTTCTGAGAGACTGGGTTAGTGCAGTGGTGAGTTATAAGTCCTGGTGTGCTCAATGGGCTTTGAGGGTGGTGTTGATGCTGAACTGGGTAAAAAAAAAATCTGTGTATATTTGTATAAAAATTGGTAACATCTGAGGCTACAGTAATGGGTTAGGGACCTTCTCTAACTTGTAAGGCAAAATAATTATGTGTGCAGCAGACGCTAAACTGGCGGAAGCTGCGAGCAAGGACAGAGAAATAACTCAAAGGGCCCTAGAATTTTTATCCATGTTGGGTCTGGCAGTTGCTGATTAATATGAGAAGTGATTGAGGAAGGGGAATTGCTTCTTTGCTTGATGATGTATTTCTTCTTTAATGTATTTAAATATATGTCAAAGGCAGTTGGCGATGCGGATGAGCGTTCTTTGGTGTAGAGTATTACGTCTAAATAAATAATGCAGATGGGAGGAAAATGACCAAACCCCAGACTCAGTTGGAGAAGGAAGCCTGGGGAGCAAAAATAGCTGAGAACCTGGTGCGGGAGGCAGCAAATGAGACAAGTTCATGATGTAATAGTGCTGCAAAAAAGTCTGTGTCAGTTAGAGGCTACGTGTGCAGAGACTTCATATGAACAGAGAGGATTTATTCCTTGGGGAGACCCCATGGGGATCCTGCATTAAGTTCTGGGCTCCTCAGTCCCAGAGCCCTCCCATTCCAAAGCAAGGAGAGGGGTGGGGCGCACTGCTTTGGGAAGACATCCCTTGGGGTACTGCACTCAGCTCTGGGTACCTAAGTATTGGAAGGGATCCTGAAAAGCTTCTTAGAAATTTTCAGGGGCAAGAGGGACTAACTCACAAAGAGGTGATGCAAGCTCAATCTGCTACTCCTTGCATACGCATGGCACGGGTTTCTCTGTCATGTGGAGCCTGAACCCACTCTCAGGATTTGGGGAGCTGCCTGCATGTGTAAGGGGCTGGGAAGTTCAACCTCTGGAGCGAAGGCTGGGGAGGAAACATCTTCTTGGGTGGAAACATCAGGTGTCACACAGGGCACTGAGGCACTCTTTTACTGCAGAACTATAAGGAACCTAGAGACTAGTGCACTCTATGGCACGTGGTGCCAGCATTGGAGACCCTACCAGTGAGAGGAGCCTGCTAATGTGGAATCCACTTGATGCTGGCTTTTAAACCAATAACTTGGGCCTCTGGCTCAGTACTGCAAGCTGTTCCTGAAGCCAAGCTGTGGCACTTCCTGAGGTGAGGACTAAGGGAACCCAACTCCATGCTGCCCCTGGGCCAGCACCACCTCTGCCTGGTAGAATTTGGACTTAGTCCCTAAGCACTTCAGGACACTGCTTTGCAAGCTGCTGCTGGTGAGCAGCAATGACAGTCAGATGTAGAGGACTCCTATCAAAGGCTTCCCACTGATCGAGGGGGTGGCAGCAGTTAAGACTGAACCTGAATTCCCTCCATTCCTATTGAAGTTGCTGTGTGTTAAGACAGCACCTTGCAGGAATCTAGGGTCTGAGATGGGATCAGCTAAGGACAGTTTGCATGCAACCTCCAGGGTTATCAGACTTCACATCTGAGTGTCTGCTGGATTATTGGGGAAATTATACTGGTGCTGGGGATTCTATAATCAGACTAAATCACTGCAAATACTGGCTACAGTTGCCATAGAAACTGAATCTGTTGTTGCTAGGTGTGGGGAGCTGGTTGTCACTTGGCTACAGCTGCTGCATAGTTCCAACATTAGCTCATGGTCCAGAGGAGCGTAGTGTCCTGCTCCATGACCCTACTGAGATCCAAGAGAAGTTCAGGCAGCTCTTCTCGCCCTCAGGAGGGGGGCAGGGAACAGTTTTGCTTGGCTCTCTAGCTGACTGCAGATCTGTCAGGCCCTGCATAGTTTCTGATTTGCCTCGAAGATCCTCTGCCCATATATGTCTGTCTCACTGTGGTTATGGGAATCTGACTTGACTTGAAATAACTCCCAGACATCTGGGAGCCAAGGACGAGTTAAAGATTGTGTCTGAGTTGCTGGGGAAGAGATAAGGAAGGGTCAGAGCCCCCAGCACCTCCTACCAAAGGGAGGGGACAAACTCTCAAAGTTCTAACTAATGCTCTGGCAAAATCCCCACCCCAAACCTGGCAATTGGTGTAGCCCCAAGCATATGAGCAAGACTCTCTAGAGTTTGGAATGTCACCCTGATCACACTAACTGTTCATAGGCTCCTTGCATTCTTGGATCTCACAAGCAGCTATAGGAACTCAGAATTCAAAACACCAAGCTACTCCACCTTCCTGCACTCCAGGAAAAAGCCACTTTGGGTCTAGAACCATAGCTTCCTTAGTTAGTTAGTTCCTTTGTTAGTTTTCAGGCAAGACCATGTGTTCTGCTGCTGTTTAGTTCCCAGCCACTGCAGTCCTCTTCTGGGCATTCACACGCAAACAAGACTCTGTCCCATCCCAGAGCCCTTCCTTCTACAGCCTGCACATGCCTGCGTTCCCCTCTGAACCACTCCCAGGATGCGTGCATCCCTGTGAATGACAGATGCCTCACTGGCTGCAGCACTACAAAGCCACCTCAGCCCCCACCCGTGGCCTTAACAGTGGTGTCATCATTGGCCTTATTTCGTTATAGCTCCCTTTGGGATGCAGTCTGCTGGCTGCAAAGTTCCCATCTTCATGGTCCTGCTAATATTAGTTCCTGAGAGCAGGGTCTGTACCTCGGTCCCATCCATCAGCCTCCTGCATATCACCAGGGCATCAGCATTAAACTCAATCAGCTGTTTCTTAGAGGGCTCCCTTAAGAAATGGGAACCTCCTGAAGATCTGCTGCTTTAGTTCAGTTTTGGGGTCGCACCCACATTTTACCCCAGGTGAGATTGAGGAAAAACTCTCAGCAGCAGCGAATGAATCTCGTGCCTGGGAATCTCTAAACTCCCTAGCCTCCTCAGTGTCGTGGCACAACTTATGCAGTGCTGCCTGCATCGGGTTATTGTGCTATGGAAATAACATGGGGTGTATCCTAGCCTCTTGCCCTATGTGTTGGGATGGGAGAGAAGGATTTTGTTATTGTGATGCTAAACTGAGAATGCTTGTGGGGGGGCAAAGGGGGTTGGCGTTCTCCCTGCATTTTAGTCCAGTCAGTGAAATTTTGCTAGAGATGCGTCAAGCTGTCCCCAACAGGATTTTGTTTCTAATGCACTGAAGCACCCATGTGTGCCAGTGCAGATAACTGTTAAGAGCCCCCTGACCCTCCCTGATAGCTGGGGGATATGAAATCTGGGAAAGCTTCCAGAGCAGAGCCCTGCTGTGCAAGCAGCTGGGCCCAATGCCAGCTCCACTGGGGCAGGAAGGGGCATGTTGTGTGGAAATAATGGCTGGTACAGTCAGTGTGTCAGGCAGGGACTGGGATAGCCTGTTATCTTCCCTTGTATCTCAGTGTCTCTCCCAAATTGAGTTCTCTGGGAGGGAGAACCATCAGGCCACAGCTGGGCTCAGGGCAGAGACTCACTGGAAGGGTTAGCTAGGGCTCTTTCCCCCTCCCAACAGGAGGTAGAAGGGAAGGGTGCCCATTGCTGCAAGTAGAAGGGGTATCTGGGTGGGCTTTGGGGGAGAGAAAGTTTCTGGGTAGGGTAAAGTGTGAGCAGTCTTTGGGGAAGTCAGGAAAAGGGGTAAGAAGTCAGTGGATGGGCTGAGTGTGGAGGGGAGGGGAAGGAAAGGGAGAGCCTCTGGATAGGCTGTGAGAGTGGAGTTGTGTGATCTGTATGTGTCTGACTTAAGAATCTCTGTAGTTTTCCTTCTAGGCTCTTCGGGCAAGCAGCTGAGTTTGGGGGCCATAGCCATGGACCCACTCTCGGAGTTGCAGGATGACGTGACCCTGGAGGACACCAACCAGTCCCTGAGCCAGCTCAAACTGGCTTCCTTAGATGATAAGAACTGGCCAGCAGATGAAGTGCCTGTTTTTCCCAAGTCAGGTGGGCATCCCTGCTGGGGCCAGCAGACATTTGGGTGCAGGGCTGACTTTGAGGCCAAGAGGTATTCCAGGACACCCTGTGCCTTGGCCTGTTGCAGGGAACTGTGACCCTCTCACACTCTAACTCAGTCCCATCTGGGATGTGAGGATTGGGAAATGGAGATGTGTGAATTGTTTTGTGCCCGAAGCCCACAGTGTAGTACCTGGCTGGGCTCTTGCAGGCTCTGATACCCAGAGAGACCAGGTGATTTGGCAAAGCATGCAGGGTAGGCAGCAGGGTATGTGCAGAAGCACCTGTGCTGTGAGCAGCCCTGACAATACCCTTGGCTCCTTTCCTCTCATACATGTTGGGTGAATTTCCATGCTCAGGAGAGTCCTGAGCAGAAGCTGACTGACTAGACACTGTTCTGAGTTGTGGGGTTTGGGACACGCACAGTTGCCTTCCAGGGACAAGGCTGAGACTTGACAAAACTTGCTTGTCCTGTGACAAAATCAAGATTTCAAAACAGATGTTCAGGAAGGCCAGGCTAGTACATTAACTTCTCCCCGTGTCACTGAGCCTCCGGTTCTCATCCCTGTGTTTCCAGGCCCCTCCCAGAGCTGCTCCAGGTCCGTTTCTGCTTTCATGCTAATTGCTGGTTTCCTGGTTTTTTTGTGTGCAGAGGACACCAACTGCTCCCCTGAGCCCATCACTCACCTGCGCTGGGATGATCCATACTACGATATTGCTAGGCACCAGATCGTGGAAGTAGCAGGTAATGACCCACTCTCCCCACTCCTTCCAGTGTTGCCTCTTCAGTGGGATCAGATGTGGGCTTGTTAATTGGAGTGGAAAGGGGCCCGCCCTGTGCCAACCACCAGTGGCAGACAACAGGGACAGCTGACATTTTCGGGGATGGGAGCCCCAAACCTTTGGGATATCTGTGGCAGTTCTTATTTTCCATTGTTCTCGGTTTGACTCAGATTAATTCCCAGATCTCACTGTCTCTGAAGTGATTAGAGTGAGGACTGGTCACTTCTGCTTAGGTGCATTCATTGGAGCCCCACCATGTCCCAAGGCATGCTGCAGCACCTTCTAGCTGATTATACCAGAATTGCCACCTCCCCCTGGTTCTTCAGGGCGGTAGCTAATATCTAAGTTGTCTGAGAAATTGGCACATTAACTGGTGGGGGACCATGCAGTTTGCATAGTCAAAGCTTGTGGCCTTTACTGTAGCTGGACTGTGGGGACAGCCTTTGCTGGATGTGTCTGCTACAGGGAGCAGATGGGAAAGGGTTAACATTGTTGCTACTTCAGTGACAATTAGGCTGCAGCACTAACATTCCTGATTCCCTCCCTGTTTCACAAACATCCTTTAAAATATATTAACTCTTGGAGCACTGCAAACACCCTATGCCAGTTACAGCTGAGACCTGTGACTGGAATTTTTAGAAGGTGCTGGGAGTGGGGATACAGGTCAGGATTTTGCTCTGGAACTATTTCCAGCTTGCCCAGCTCTCTTGCTGCCAGAAACCCTCCCCAGTCCCCCACAACTTGATTCTCCCACTTCTTCAGCTTGCATTATCCATGCACCCCTCCACTAGCCCTGCACCCTGGTTTGTGTTCCACGAGTGAAGAGAAATCTTGGGCGGAGGGGAGGAGGAAAGAATCCCAGGCTTATCAGATCTCATGGTGAAATGAAAGTTGCACTGGTATAATCCCCTTCTCTGGGTGGTTTGGGACATTTGGCTGGAATATGGCTCCTTTCTCCACTTCAGTGATGCCACTCCAGCTTTTTGGACATTATCACTATTGTTGTGTGTCCCTAAAACTATGGCTTTTTCCAGGCTACTTTGTGTCTAGAGAGCCTTGGGCGCTCAAGATTAGTGCAATAATTCAGTCCCTGGCCAAAGGGTCTCTAAGGGTATGTCTACACTGTGATAAAAGATCCACAGCACAGCCGCAGCTGGCCTGGGTCAGTTGATGTGGGCTCAGGCTGCGGGGCTATAAAATTTCAGAATAGGTGTTCAGGCTCAGGCTGGAGCCTGTTCTCTGAGACCTTGCTAGGGAGGAGGATCCCAGAGCCCAGGCTACACCCTGAGCCCAACATCTACACTACAGTTCTATAGCCCTGTAGCCTGACCTCCACAAGCCCAAGTCAGCTGACATGGGCCAGCCACGTGTATTTTATTGTAGTGTAGACATACCCATACATTCTTGTCCATAGTGTACTGGTTTGCCAGATTCCTGATCCTGCTTCCAGGGTCTAAAATTCCCAGCATTATAGTTGTCCCAGATCACCACCCTGTTCTCCATAATGCTGTGGTTGGGTTGGAGGAGTGCAGGTTTGTGCCATTTAATGCTTCAGTGACAGAAACTCAGATATTTGCTAAGACGGAGCAGGCAGGTGTTTCTAAACACCAGGAATTTAAGAGTTAAATGACACTCTCATTCACCTCAGACAAAGCCCACAGTGCTTAACGGAGTGGTTAGATCAGAACCAACAAGAACCACGGAGTGATGGGCCCAAACCTAGGATGTCCTCTGCCATGTGTTGTGTGCTGACATAATCTCCAGTGTTTCTGTAGAGCTTTTATCCCAAGGGATCCCAAGCTTTTATCCCAAAATGCATGAATAGGCATCACTGAAATCCAGCCAGCTCAGAGGCGGGGCACAACAACTCTACGTAACTGTGTAGGGTACAAAGTGAAAAATTCCATATCTAACTGAAATGGTAGGTGGGATTTCAGGAGGTTCTCATCTGGCAGGATGGCTGACTGGAATGTGCGCTGGGATTGTGGAAGAAATCTCCTCCCCCACTATTGGGGTAATTTTTATCCATCGTAATTTCTAACTGCCCGTCCCTGTGATCTTTGTGTGATTGGAAAGCCTTCCTCTGAAGCCTGTGCCAGTGACTGCTGTTGGAGTTGGGTTGCTGATGGCCTGCTACATTTGTCTAGTTCCTGTGTTCTGTGATCATCTCAAGTCCAACTTGGAGGGCATTGACTTGCCTTATTCCAGGCTGGTGATTTCCTCCCCCTGCAAATAGTTCTCTGCTTGCCACTCTCTCACCCAGCAACCGTGTGCCCTGGGCATGCTCAGTGCCTGCCACTCAGCTTTGAATGCCATCAGCTGATATCTTGGAACTATGTTGAGTAGATTCAGAGCTGATCGCTGAAGATCCAGGAAACACAGTGTGACTCCCTGTGTTTCTAGGTTCCAGGAGGGAGACCACAGCAGTTGCAGAACCAGTCTATGAATGGAAGGCGGGCAGGCTAGTGCTCCGTTCAAGGGGAGATGGCCTCAGTCCAGACAGATATCACTACACCCACCAGCAGAGATGGCACGAATTAGCTTGCTGTTGGCAATTTCAGTGGAGAGGCCCAGGACTGAATGTAGCATGGAAACGGGATTCCCTGTTGACCCCTAAAAGGGGGACAGGTCTCTTTAGGGCTGGGCTGAAGCACGTTGGCAGCTGCTGGTGGGGGAAAGATCACCCTGCTGCTGCCCAGGCTGAACTTGTTCTGAGAATGGAGGCCCTAAGCCAGGGGCGGGCCCGAGGGCCACATCTGGGTATGGAAATTGTATGGTGGGCCACAAATGCTCACGAAATTGGGAGTTGGAGTGCGGGAGGGGGTGAGGGCTCTGGCTGGGGGTGCGGGCCCTGGGGTGGGGCCAGAAATGAGGAGTTCAGAGTACAGGAGGGGGCTCAGGGCTGGGGCAGGGGGTTGGGATGTGGGAGGGGTTGAGAGCTCCAGCTGGAGGTGCAGGCTCTGTAGTGGAGCCTGGGATGAGGGTTTTGGGGTGCAGGAGGGAGCTGTGGGCTGGGCGTGGAGCAGAGGGGTTCAGCGTATGGGAGGGGGCTGTGGGCTGAGGCAAGGGGTTGGGGTGTGGGAGGGGGTATGGACTCTGTGCTGGGGGCGGTTTTCCAGGGTGGGGGCAGAAATGAGGGGTTCAGGGTGCGGGAGGGGGCTCTGGGCTGGGTCAGGAGGTTGGGATGCGGGGGATGGGGTTCTGGGCTGGGGCTGAGGGGTTTGGAGTGTGGGAGGGTGCTCCAGGCTCAGGCTGGGGGTCTGAGGGCTCCAGCCGGGTGTGCGGGGGAGGGGGTGGGGCTGAGGATGAGGGGTTTGGGGTGCAGGAGGGCGCTCCAGGCTGGGACCGAGGGGTTTGGAGGGCAGGAGGGGGATCAGGGTTGGGGTAGGGGGTTGGGGCGTGGGAGGAGGTCAGGGGTTCGGGCTCCAGGTGGCACTTACCTCAAGCAGCTCCCGGAAGCAGTATCATGTCCCCCCTCTGGCTCCTAGGTGGAGGCGCAGCACTCGCCAGGTGGCTCTGTGCACTGCCCCATCCGCAGGCGCTGCCCCTGCAGCTCCCATTGGGCACAGTTCCTGGCCAATAGGAGCTGTAGAGCTGGCGCTTGGGGTGGGGACAGCATGTGGAGCCCCCTGGCTGCCCCTACTTGTAGGAGCCGGAGGGGAGACATGCTGCTGCTTCCAGGAGCCGTGCGGAGCCACAGCATGTGCGGAGCAGGGCAAGCCTCCCATGCCGCTCCCTAGCGGGAGCTCGAGGGTCAGATTAAAAGGTCTGATGGGCCGGTTGCAGCCTGTGGGCCATAGTTTGCCCACCCCTGCTCTAGATCACCAGAGATGTCAGTCTGGGATGCTTCACCAGCAACCAGTTTTTCAGAACTGATGACACCCGTCCCAGCAGTGGGGAGTTGGCAGTGCAGCTCCCGTTAGCAAGTTAATGGAGATGTAGTCCAGAGGCTCCCTGACGTGTTCAGCTCCTGGCAGCAGGCACTGTTGCTCAGAGGGGCTGCCTGAGTCACACTCTGGGCTCCGTGACAAGGCTGTTTATTTAGCCTCTTAGTCAATTATTAATAAAGTAACTGAAACAATATTCAACATGTCAAACCACAGCCCAGACCTTGGAATCACAGGGTCACATTCCCAGGACATGTTTAATCCAGGAGGGTCTAAACTGGTGCTGTGGGAGCAGGGCCCCCATTAATGGTGGAGAGCACGTGGTGTCAGTGCTGGAAAGAAGCACTAAGGGAATTTCTTACAGACTAGGAAGAAACTGATTAGAAAATAGTCTTTGGCCTCCAAAACCTGGAGAACTAATGCTGAGCTGCCTTTGGCTCACTAGACAAGCTGCTGATCTGCACTTAAACCTTCTCCATGCAGTGACAGCTCACTATGGCCAGCCCCTGCCTCATTTCTCTTGTAATCATTACCAAAGGGTTGCAGAGATAGAGGTTTTGCCCATCCTGCTGCTTCAATAGATTCCTTCTGTGGCTTTGCTTAGCCATCCATGCCCTGTCCTGCACATCAGGGCAGAGGGCATGTGGCTAATTCTGTCCATCTTTTCCTGAAGAGCATTCTGGGGCACTATTCTGAGACATTTCAAGGAAATAGAAGCAGGAGGCTGGTTCTCATCCTCAGGCTGAGCTTGTTACATCCAGGGCTGTCATGTGAGATTAGCACAGAGGTTCCTTGTTGATGGAAGGATGCATAATGTTTGTACAACACAGTTTAATATTATAAAAACAATTAATGCTACTCAAAAATTGGGACAATCATTATCTTGCTGGTACTAATTTGTGATCCAGGTTGTCCTGTGGAGTCCCAAGCTGTCTGGGCCCTAAGGGGAAGGATTTGAACTCTAAGAAGTGTGGAGTAGAACTGGTTGGAAAATAGTCTTTTGATGGTTGTTCTCCACTGCTCCCCCTGGAAATTTTGGCTTTTTGGTGAAATATCAAAAACCAAAATATTTTGA